ACATTCCCAAACAGTGACTAAAGGTCAAGTTAGAGCATGCATCTCATTCAGTTCATTTCTTTTCCTTTTGTATATGGGTACATCTCCACTGTTATCAAAAGTGGGAACTGACCGGCCTATTGAACTAGGAATTGGCTGTTCTGGCGGTTTGGTCCCTCATAGTGTACCAGCTTAGCAAAAAACTAGACATATGGTGTGATATTGGGTCACCACCATTGGCTTCACATAAATTCCCACAAAAATATGCATTCAGATGCAACTGAGTTTAACAGTTGAATTCCAGCCTATTCTAGTTGTGAAATGAGACTGTCTATATTATGTATATGTGAATATACTATAATATAAAGGAAACCTACTACAATTTTATAACCCCAGTTGAACTGAAGAACCATGAACGGATGTCCTCGCCCATTTGGTGTTCAGTTCAGTTCTAACAGCTCTGCATCTGTCACCATCAATTTTCTACTTTTTTCCCATTCCCATTTTCTCACATGTTATTTTAAATTTTGCAGGGGGCTGTTATTTAGAAATATGCATCTATGAAGAAGCATAATTGCTGTGGAACCAACCAAAAGTTAATTTTTAGAGTGGGTAGGTACTGCAAGTTCTTCAGAAAAGCAGAAAGTTTGGGATTTGAATGTTTATTAGTAGACTGTATTCCAGATCTCTAGTAAGTCAGATGCTGAACCATATGACACATTGCGGGCAGTCATCTTCAAATTTTTGGCTGACAGTTGTTAGGTTTGGATGTCTTAGGTATTTTTTTTGGCTTCTAAAGCAGTTGGTGGTATTGGTATCTGACTGGAAATTGTTAGGTTTGCGATACTATAGACATTTGCTGACTAACTAAAAACGTTGGGCCTATTGACAATTTTTTCTTTTAAAATTTTATAATGTCAATTTGCAAACTTCGTCATTATGTAGAGTATTATCTCCATAAAAACATTCGGTTAACAGCATTATTGACATGCATGGAAGGAGTAGAAAAACAGGGAACCATCATCATGAAATGATGTTTATTCTTCAAGTTATTTGATTTTGACAGCAAGCTAAGTTAGGTAATTAGAAGGCAGTTGAAAACCGACTTGACATTACAGAAGTACCTCATTTCTCATTTGATGTTTTCTTACTAAAGGATTTTTAACTTTTCATTCAAGAACATTGCTCTTAAATGGAGCCAGGTGTGCTTGTTTGGTTTCAAATTTGGCCACATGTATCAGAGTAAAACTGTGGGCATGATAAGGCTGCGAGGGAGTTTTAACTTAAAAAATAATCTAATAACTACTTATGCAACGGGATGGATTCAGTATTGCAGGGTTTCTTACCTCAATGAAAAGCATTAGAAAATTTGTTCAGTGCTAGTATTTAAGTCTATTGCTGAGTGTAAACGCGTCAGCCAGATAAGCAAGCCAAAAGAAAAGGTACATGACCATCGAGTCTTTTGCTTTCCTTCCAGTACCCTTAGGATACCCTGCGTCTACTGTGCACCGTCTATGGACTCATTGGATATTGGGGTGCACAGGAAAACAATTCCTAAAGAATTTTTTGCAGAAGAGGCACTAGGGGCTCGATGTGGGAGTTTTGGTGGCAAGATAATGGTGGATAAGATGCAAAGGTCGAGGTTCCAGATACAAGAGAGAAATTTGGAGAGGCAATGGGATCTCGCTGAACCCAAGAGGTTGTGGCAGCGACAGAGGCAAGTGCTCTACTTTAGGGGGTGTGATGGAGTATGGATAAAGGAGGGGGAAGAAGGTCCTGAAAATGAGAGCAGAGAGGGAAGGAATGATGGTCAAGGCGACAGGGGAAGGTTGTGAAAATAGATTGATGTTACTGTAGTTGATCCAGTAGGCTCGAAAGTGGAGGCTTGTCGCTGTGATGCTTATGATGGGTGGTGATGATGATGATGTGCTTTGAGCCTCTTTCTACTGCTTTATAATTTTGTTCACAATTTTAGTCCATATCGTGAACTAGCCCAAATAAGATTAGGAAAAAATTGGACCGGATTGGACTGGACTAGACCGGCAAGATTTAGTTTGGTCCAGTTCTAAACCATGAGAGTAATTAATCTGGTTAATATTCATAATTTTTTAAACTAAAATCGGAATTGGAATCGTACTACAACCGGTGAATCGGAATTAGATTAAACCGTGTTAATTGAACTAGATTTGAATCGTAAACCGGAACTATGAGTGAACCGGAATCATGTATATAAATTGTGAACCGTGAATTGGAATTGTAAGTAAACCATGAATCATAAAATTAGTATTATGTTTTTAATTTTTTTTCATCTTATTACTTTTATTATTCATTGAAAATAATAATATGATTTTTGTAAAAATTTATTAATAAAAATAATGTCAAACATGGTTATTTTTTGAAATTAAAAACAATTTTATAAAACAAATACAAACATTTTGTTATTATCAATTCAAATATGTTTACCAATTGACTCTATTTTCTAAAAAAAAGAAAAAAAGAAAAATAGATTTAGAGAATTTCTTTTTTTGGGTGTGTCTGCAAACTAAGTTTATAAAATTTAAAGTCACAAATTGAATTAATGATTTTATTCATTTGAGAAGAACATGTTTCTTTTGTTGATTTAGTTAAGGAAAGAAAATTCAAAGATTTGTATTATTTATTTGATTTTGTATAAAAATCAAAATTATTTATAATATCTTATAAAATTTATTTAGAGATTATAAATTCAACTCTAAATTTTTTTTTTATCTCTTTCAAATTCGACTTTTAATATAATAAAAAAGTGGATAGTCATTTCTAAATCTTTAACTATAAAAATAAAGGCACTGCACAGTTAAAATTTAATTAAAATTAAGCCCAAACCACTAGTCAAATAATATGAAAATTAAATTGACTGAATTATATGTGTAAAGTTGTGCGTTACTCGCCTATATATATATATATATATATAGCCTATATATATATACATGCACAAGCATAAAGAAGTAATATAAAACATATTCTAAACAGATTGCAAACCCACCCTGAACTTGCCTCGACTACCCAATATATGAATAAAGATATATTTAGTACTAATATATATTTTTAAAAAATTAAAAAATAAGTTAATAAGATTGTTTTTGAATTTTTTTATTACGATTTTTTTTGCAAAACCAAAAAATGATTTATCTAAACAATTACCAAATTTTGTGTTGAACGGTCAAACATCTATTGAACAAGGTAAGAGTTTGGAGCTATTCTTTGAGAACAAATTTAAGACGGAATAGATTAAGTTGATTTTCAAAAGTTTAATATATTAAATGAAACTAATATATTAAACTTAACTAATTGATTCAATTCAATTTTTAGGTTTTCGACCAATTTTATGCACAAGTCTAAGATAGGCAGTTAACAGGTTAGATTTGGGCCGGATCATGATAGGTTTAGATTTGAATCCAATAGCAGTATAGTATATCAAAATTCGACTCAAAATCTTATATGATATGTGTTTAGTACTATTATATTCGAATTTAGGTAAAATCTAATATCTAAATTAATAATGCAAATCTAAATTGTCGAATTACTATAAATTTATTATTTTATATTTTAGAAAAAATAATTAAAAATTAAAATAAAAATTTCTTTAAAAAATGAACTAATACATAATTTTAGAGTTTAAAAATATAATATAACTATATTTAATTTTTCGTAATATATTGCATTTAAGATTGTCTTCTTGGTAATATATAACAATTATGTTTAATTTATCAATATATATTTCCCATTTTTACTTTTAATAAAAATAAAAATATGTTTTTAAATTCTATTTTTAAGAAAAAATAATTTATTAATTAAAGTTTGATAAATGAAGTTTATATTATAATATATAATGTTATTTCATATTATATATCATATATCATATGTATATAATATAAATTTATGTATATAAATTTATATTATATATATTATTTAAATTCAAATCTTATACAAATCGAATCAGATAAAATTTATATCCATTTTATTTATTTCGAATTACAGACTTTTATAATTAAATTATATCTATCAAATTTTTTATCAGTTAAAAATATTAAATAATTAGATTAAATTTAAGTTTAAAATATTAAATAATCGGATTAAATTTAAATTATAGTTGGGTGCATTAACAACTCTACCCATGATTACATGAGAATTTTTATTTTATTTATCCAACTATAGTTACTGTCAATTTAGTCAGACTTACCAAATACTAGATGGCATTTCTTGTTTAATTCTAACCAAAGATGCGAGTGTGGATAACATCGCTATAATTTGGTCGGTCAAAGGGCTAAATTGAGACAAAGTATAATTGGAATGCTAAATTTAGAAATTCCCGAATTGTCGAGAGATTTTTTAAAAAACTTCAGCCAGAATAAATAAATAAATAATGTAAACACAAACTTGGACAGGAAAAGACGGATTCGTTTGGAAAATTAGACGTTTCTCTTTTTTTTTTTTTCTCCCCCACATCTTTGCATTCTCATTTTCGATAATTTATAAAAATTTCTCATTTCAGAAATTAGAAAATAATATTTCTAGTTGCTCAAACATGGCCTCTTGTCCTGTTTTCAAAAAAAAAAAACAATAATAAATGTCCAAACTTCGAAGTTTCTTTGTGGTTACCCAAAAAAAGAAAAAAGGAAAAAAAAGTTTCCGGCTTTGCTGACATCTGTCCATTGTCCATACAACCCTTTCTAATACCCAGCACTTGCAACTCAGAAAACCCTTGTGGGAACCAACTGCTCTACGGAGCTCCTCTAATGGCTGGCCATGCGCCCCTGAACCAGAGCCCTGAGAAGAAAGCTTTCTAAGGAAAGGGCGATATTCTGAGGCCTTCAGGTCTTTAATCCGAAGCTAACGCCTGAATCACGACAAAGCTTAAGGTGAGAACTCCATAGTTAACAGCTTTCTACATTTTGTACAGTTCGAAGTAGCGACTTTCCGTTTTGCACTGATCGACTGAAAATATAACTAAATTAGACATGAACAATTTGGGTAAACTTCGAATGTCATCTCTTCTCAAATCGGTTTCTTTAGATTTTAGTGGGTGCAACCTCGGATTATCTAGAACTACTTACTGGGCAACTGGGTCATATGGCATTGTTCAAAGCCTTAGGTTTTATCGTAAGAAAAAATCTGTTGAGTATGAAAGTGGCAAGGAAAATGCTGCCCAAAGGGAAGCCCAAGCTGTATTGCTGGAATATCTACATTTGACTAGAAGCTTGCATTATTCGGATGCAGAGCACGTAAGTTCTAATTCGCCACGTTTTCTTGAGAAGTTGTTAAAAAAAGTTAAGAATGAGACGGAAATTGGGAGGTCTTTATCCAGATTTTTGCGGTATCATCCTATAAACGAATTTGAACCTTTCTTTGAGAGCATGGGTTTGAAACCCTCAGAATATTCTCCTTTCCTTCCTCGCAATTTGATGTATCTGGCTGATGCTGAAATGCTAATGGAGAATTATCATGTTTTGTGTAGTTATGAAATGCCTCGAAATAATATAGGAAAGATATACAAGGAAGTACCAGAAGTTTTTAAATATGATTATGGCGTCCTGCAATCGAAACTTCAAGCTCTTGAAGCATTGGGGTTAAACCAATCTGCTGTTAGAATGTTTGTTTTGTCATGTCCTAAACTTCTGATTGCAAACAAAAGTAAGGAATTTGTGAAGGTGTTAGAAAAGTTCAAGATCGTTGGGATCAAACATAATTGGATTCAAGGACATTTGTTGGAGGGAATTTCTTATAATTGGATCCATATGTTTGAGCTATTGAGTTTATTGAGCAGCATGGATTACAGTGAGCAGCAATTAGGAAAATTAATTTGTCAGCATCCAGATCTTCTATTTGAGGCATCAGGAAATATAGCCCTTTTATTAATTGGGTGCTTACTAAAATTTGGATTCTCCAAAGATGAGATACATTCCTTGTTTCTTGAATTCCCACAAATCCAATTAAAAAAATTTGCTAATAATTTCAGACAATGCTACCATTTTCTCGTGGAGACTGAGATGGAGCCTCAAGAGATTGGGAGGATTGTTCGTTCACACCCCATATTGTTGGGCTCATGTTCTTTGAAAAAAGTTAACAGCTTACTGACAATACTGAATACTGGGAAGAAGCGGCTTTGTGATATAATCAAGGAGAATCCACAAATACTGAAGGATTGGGTTGTTGGATCAAGGGTCAAACGTTTACCAGATTCAGGAGAGGAACTGAGATCTCAGATGTTAAAGACTAAATTCTTGGTGAAGTTGGGGTTTGTTGAAAACTCAAATGAAATGAAAAGGGCTCTCAAGGTTTTTCGAGGTAAAGGAGGGGAATTGCAGGAGAGATTTGATTGCTTTCTGAAGGCTGGTCTCAGTAGGAAAGATGTCTCTGAGATGATTAAAGGATCTCCCCAAGTTCTTAACCTATCAAAGGATGTGATTAAAATGAGGATTGATTTTCTTCTAAATGAATTGGGCTATCCTCTTTCAGCTCTGCTGTCTTTCCCTTCGTATGTTTGCTACACAATTGAGAGAGTTAAATTCAGGTTTTCAATGTATGATTGGCTTAAAGATCAAGGAATAATGAAACCAAAGTTGGCATTGAGCACTATTCTTTCAACCTCGGATAATATATTCATGAAGCAATATGTAAATCAACACCCTGAAGGTCCCGAAGTTTGGATGAAGTTGAAGAAACAGTTTCAACTAGTGAAGGACTGCTAGTATGTAAGACTCATTATTGAAGGATTTAGGAAGTCTCAGATATTTATAGTCTTCCCCCTACATGCAGATAAGGTATTTCTGTGACTCAAACCCAGACTGCCAAGGTTAATGAAGTAACCTTTGCTCCTGTGCCAACACCCTCACTTCAGTTTATTTTAATTAAGAAGTCGAATAACTATTTATACATACCATCTCTTCCGTGTAATGCATAACATATTCAACTGGGAAATGTTTTGGTTGTTATTGAAACTAGTGTAAATTAAAGGCCATTTTCTCTCAATTCAGCCTCTAATAGACAGAGCAAATTGGATGTGGCACCCGTTGATTGAATTTTACATACTTAAACTTCCTACTCTATGTTATCACAACAGGTACTTCGTAGATGTTGTGAGAAATTTATCTGTTTATCTGGTCTGGCAAAAGTTTTTGTTGATTGGCTTTTGGCTTTGTTATCTTTTCCTCTGTTTAGAAAGAGATTATTTATTTATTTATTTTGGCCCGTGGTGGGGGGGTTCTTTTTCTGTTTTTGTGTTTTGACTTGTGTTTAAGACAGGGTAACTTTAGGAGGTTATTGAAGATTGAGACAATGGTCCTTTGCTAATTGTTGCTATCATCTTTAGAGGCTAGTATCAATTGACAGCACCAGTGGTTGATCTAATTTTTATTTTTTTTACACATCCAATACTACTATCACTAACTCATGAATGACGTAATGCCAAACTAGAATACACTCTCTGTTTAACTGTTGCTTAACCTTCTGGGCCATTCCGGATAATGGAATTCCAGTGATTAGAGGAAAAGATCATCCATTATTAGCTAGAAATATAATATATAAGGTGCCCCATAACCATCCAGCATTTCTTATATTTAGCCTTCACACAAGAATGTACCATATTGGTCTTGCGGCTGATCTGGTGTTGGTATTGTACTTCTCATAAGTCACAGATTTGCTTTTCTCTGTAATTCTGATATTTAGTTTACTGATTTGATGATGTTATGCAAGATAAAACCTTTGGTTTTTTTAATCCTCGGTTTTGCTCCTAGAATAGCTGTCACACTATCCTGTTAGCTAATGAACCATGAGCTGTTGATCTGGCAAGTCCTGTCATCCCTGAGCAAGGCAAGTCATCTTCCAGTATCTTGTCAAATTTTTTGGAAAATATTCTGAAGTATTCATATAATATAAAACTTGTTTAACTTATAGTATGGAGTCCAGACACTTCTACAAGAATTTGGAATGACTTCTAGCACTTACCAGCAAGCAACAACTTTGTCTATTTTTAAATGGATTTAAGAGATTATAGAATTGATTTGAGTGGTTAGAGTTCTATGGTTCAACAGTTCTCTTGTTTTCAAGTAGTTCTCTTTTTTTTCCTTTTTTATTTTTTACATATACACTAGCTTTTCAGAAGAATTGAAATGGTTACCACTGTGATTCTGTGAAAAAGACTATAACCAGGAACATCTGTTAGTTGCCCTATATTGGACCAATTAAAGGTGCAGTTTTCCTGATCTCTTTACCCCATAATTATCTTTGAAAGAAAAAATCCCCTCGAGAAAGAGTATCCTCTGGCAGTTTCAGTTCTTATTTTTTTGTTTATTGTATATGTTGATTTATGGCTTCTGCTCTTTTTAGTCCTAGAGACATTTCTATCCTCTTTGTTAAACGAGAAGTGCAGGTAGAAGTCTCCAAAATTTATCTGCATAGAACTAGATGTCAAAACCAATTCCACCAGAAGAATCAGTTGGAGAATCAAGATGATAGAACCAGGACACCTCCATGCAAAAACTTGAAATATTGGGGCAAACTTGTTTTGGATGAAGTTTCATGTATATTGCCAGAATTCCTTCTTGTTATCTTAAGGTTCTTAATTGGAGTGATCGTAGGTAGGGAAGGTAGGTTTTTAGGGTAGAACTTGAAACCTACCCTATTTGGAATTACCTTGAAAGTTGAAATCCTCCGATTAATTTATTAGGTTTTTTCATAAATATAAACATTAATTTAACATAAAATTTCAAGTGAGTTGGACTGTTTTTAAGGATTATATTTAATTTTCATTTCCATACAAAGCCATGTAACTTCCTCTTAATTAAAGTTATCAATTAAAAAAAAAAATCTTGGAAAACGTATAAATATTTTAATGATTAATATTTTTAATATTAAATATCCTCATGCAACTTGCGGCAACATGGGGGTACGGGAAGGTGCAAAAGAAGCTGTTTTCTTTTTAACTTTTTATTGGGCTTTTTTTTAGATAAGAAAGAATTAGTTTTTGATATTTTTTTAGCACATTAAGACTTCTATCTTTAAGGAATAACTATGAGAAGCATAGATGCCAATTATTTTTACCTCCACGAAGAAAGAAACTCTCAAACAAGCCAACAAACTAGTGCAGTAATGACTCTAAGAGACATCCGGCCGGTAAAGTTGGTGCACTGTTATGCCCAAGGAGAGGCAAAATCCACACATTTTCAATGTGCGAGTCTAATTTCTTATTCTAAAAGAGAAAAATAGTGCTCTCACACCCAATATTAATATCGCTTAGGCCAAAATTTAAGCAATGTGGCTGTTCTTTACGTGTGTTATTTCTTCCATTTGTTGTTGTAATGGCCTTGTGACAGTTGAAAAATAAAAAAATTAAATAAAAATCTTCAACTATAAGCTCCAATGCGAAGATGCTTGCAGACGTGATAATGATGCCTTTATTGGTGAAATTTACCTAACTCTGAATTAAGGAGTCTCCAAAGCTTACCAGACAGGATGTAACCCCCCCAAAAAAAGGAGCTTTCCACCAGACAGGAGTTTACTGAATTCTGGAAGCAGCTCAACCTCCAGGGACTAATCGGATGATATCTTTATATTCACACCAATAATTGCCTTCTAAGTACTAGTCAAAATTGAAAATTGCGATATGCCCATCGTTTTTTTGTTGTTTTTCTTTTTCTCTTTTTATAATTTATGTTTCGGAATTGGACTTTTCTTTTTTTTTTTGTTTCCACGCACGTACAAAATAATTTTTTACAAAAGGAAGTTGAAGTCTTGGGCAAGCAGAAAGGATTACTTACTCTTAAACCTTATTTACAGTAAACCTCGACATACTAATCTTGTGAATTGGGTGCAAAGAAAGTACGTTTATAATGTTAGACCATTCTCTTTATCACCGAATTCTTAACCTTAATGGCTCTACCTTAGCTGCAGCTGAACAACAGTTTCCGACAGAGAAGGATTAACCGACGGCTTTTCTCAATTATGATCAACCAATTATTGCATTATTAGACGTCAGTTATGTGAACCATTAATCATCCCACTTTGTCAAAATTACTAAATCCAATAATTCATGCAAAAACCCACAAAATGATGAAATTTATTTCTGTACCATAAATCCATAAAAAATTGCAATCTCAACGTGATTTCTTCTCATCACAGTTCCGTTTGGATGGGCTGTTTTTAGAAGCATTTTTTTAGAAATGACTTGTTAAAAGTATTTTGAAGAAACCTTTTTTAACTGTTTGGATGTAAAAAAATAAAAGTGCCTTTTTTTTGGTAAAATTACAATAAAAGACTGTCATTTTTTTTAATTTGTTTTTCTTCTCTTTGTTTGGGTTTTGCAAGAGAAGCTAAGAAAAGAGAAAACGGAGAGAAATAGAGTAGAGAGAACTGGTGAGAATCGACACATGATAGGTGAGAAGATTGAAGGCTTTGCGATTGAAGGATGGGCGAATGATGAAGGATGGCTGAGATGAAAGAGGTGCAGTCGAAGGCTCTACGATCGACTTGGCGTTGTGGCCATGAAGGTCCAACCAAGGCCAGTCGCCTTGGCAATGCGGCCGTTGGATGATCATGGTTTCCACTGGACGTTTGCGATGACAGGCGAGCTTTGATTGACTTAGTAGTGTTGTTGATTGAAGGCACAAGTCGGAAGTGCAGGTTTTCTAGAACAAAAGGAAAAAAAAGAAAAAAGAAAAAGGCAGTAAGACAAATAAGAACGACTATTGGCTCGTCGACTGCCGATGTTGCAAGCAATTAGTTTTGACCGAGATGAGAGATGAAGAATGACTGAGACGCAGATCTGGCGTTACTTGACAGTGTGAATGAAGAAAAAGAAGCACGACTGCGGGCTCAATAGAACGAGAAGGTTGACTTTCTGGAAATTATTCGGGAGCACTTTCGTCAAAAAAAAATATCTGTGTTTTTGAAAACTCTCTCTTTTCTACCGCATGAAATTCCGGGAGAGGCTACTTCAATTAGCTTCTGCTAGAGTCCAAAAAATTATTTTTGTTGTAAATTCTATCCAAATAAACCTTTTATTGTAAAATTTTTTTTAAAACAAGACTTTATTATTAAAAAAATTTCCAAACGCACTCAAACACAATTCAAATCTTTCAGTCTTTTATAACTCAAAAGGCACTAACTATCCTATTTCTTGTACCGTGGGAGGTGGGTTTGTAGTTATCAAAAATGCACTTTAAAACATAAAAACACAAGTTTTTATCCTTTTGTTCTTATCAAACACTTCCAATTACACTTAAAATCCTTTTTGAATAAAATCTCGTAAAAACTCGCGTTAAAATGGTGAAAAAAATTATAAAATCACACTTTTACTAACCACTTTTATCACTTTATCCTTAAGTTCATAATTTCTCATTTTACTAACCACTTTTATCTAATACACTATTTTAATTTCTATTTTATATAAGTGACTTGATTGTTTTAGTTTCATTCCCTATTATTTTTTATTCGTATTATACTCATGTTGTAACGACTCGAGATTACTGGCTCTAACAATTTGTTGAGCCTGAACCACTTGCCTAAAATGTTTAAACTCAAGTTGTTCAGTAATAGTTTCTAATCTCTTATAAGCTCAGGATCTCTCCCGTATTTTGTCGATGTGAGATTTGCCTAAGGGTATCACACACATACAACCCCCCTTTGGGGTGTCACACATACATCCCCCTCTTTGAGACTCAACGAAAGCTTCCCCCTCTAGGGTGTCACATATGTTAACTAACCTTATGCGTGAAATAGATGAGGGTATTTGTAACGACCCAAGTGTAACTTGCCCTAACAACTTGTTGAATCTGAACCACTGGTCCAAAATGCTTAAACCCAAGTTGTTCAGTAGTAGTCTCCAGTCTCTCATAAACCTAGGATCTCTCCCATGTTTTGTCGATGTGGGATTTGCTAAGGGTGTCACACACATACAACCTTCCTTTGGGGTGTCACACATACATCTCCCCTCTTTGGAACTCAGCGAAGACTTTCCCCCTCTAGGTGTCACATACACCATCTCTTTGGGACTCAGTATCCTCACTGAGATTTGCCCCACCACCGTTCAAGGTTGCACGCGGAGTGACTCTGATACCATTTGTAATGACCCGAGA